TGTATCGAGTGTCGTTGCCAAGCCGGTTGATGGCAAAAATTTCCCTCAAACTGAGGCGCGCTTGGTAGGCGGTCCGGGAAAGATTATTCCCGAAGCTCCTCAAAAGCAAGAGGTGGCCCCGATTGATAGGATCGAGGTTGTTGAAGTGGTCGACTCCCCTCCTGAGGTGCTATCAGGGGATTATCTTTCTTTTCACCTCCAGCTCGGGGGCCTCCCGACACTTCTAGGATTAGGGATGCTGAATCATCCTTAGGATCTTCCACCCTGGCTTTCTTACGGGTCGGGGAATAAGTCGACGTCCTCCCTCGTTTTCTACCTTCTTCATCAGGTTTCGGGGCACCCGCTTCCTCGCGAGGGGATTCTCTCAACAAAAGGACCTCCCCTGGACCTGCCCAAAAATGAGAATAAGCATGGGAAATGAGAGCGCAATAAAAAATGACCTTCGTAAAACTGAAACCATAACACAGAATGAGGTCCCACCGTGATCCTTGGCTTCCCATCGAGCCTTGGACAAATCGCACCACGTGCGCTCAACGTATGGGCATATCGAGTCCAGTTTGTCTACCCAGCCTGAAAGATCCCTGACCGCATCAGGATACGCCGCGGCAGCTGTATCAACGGAAGAAGTCAATCCATGAAAAAATAAATCAGAAAGAAAGAAATAGGTAGTTAACTAGGTATGTCCACTTACACTTCATGTTCCATCTTTCAGGGAATGGCACCTTCTCTGAGGGAATCAAGTCTGAAGTCCTAAATCGGACGAAAAGACTCATCTACCCTCTGTTCCTAGCCTCGTTGGTCCAAGCAAAGAGGGCCCTTGAGGCCCGGCAACGAAGCTTAATCAGGCCCCCACAAAAGAGTCGAGGGCTATACATTCTGATCAGATGGTCAAGAGTGAAGGGCATCCCCTCGATCACACTCACATAATATCTGGTCATGTAAATGATGCGCCAGAATGACGGATGAATTTGGCTGAGAGTCACTTGATATCGTTCGCAGAAGTCAAGGATCACGGGGTCTATCGAAGGCATGGAAGATAATCGCCGGGCCAAGGGTAAATGGATAAGTATACACACTGAGAAAGTCGGCTTTATACGTCGTTATATCCTCCCCCCGAGAAGAAATCCCCACTAACACCGCATCTTCCCAGCGACAGTCGATCTTCACCCTCTCAACGTCCGTTATTAAACTAACATAACGAGACACGGGCTCGCTTCGCCCCGGCTTCGAAGAAGGTCATTCGACCTTGAAATCAGAGGTCGTCTCAAAGACCTTTGGAATGCATGTTCTAGCATCAGAAGACGCTGCTGCCCTACCCTCAGAGGGGGGCGTGGAAGAGAAAGGCATGACTTCTTGAGAGATAGAAAGGGAAGTGCTCGCCATTTTACGAAAAGGCCGCGGAAAGGGAGCGGAAAAATCATGCTTCGGAAAAAAAACGCGGAAGGAAAGTGGGAAAGAACAGAAAACTCTATTGGGATCCGATAGCACAATTGAAAGGAAGGGGCGAAGACGTGAGTATTTATAGAAGCCCAATTGAGCAGGCCAAGAGACAGCCAACTGCCATTAATTAATCCTAAGACTTTGAGGATTGTGTGGGCACAACCTTTAAAAGCTGTGTCTGCAACATCAGTCGCCTGGCAAGCCGTGACTGTTTGCTCCGATGGAAGCATCGAAGGGGTAATATCTCGAGATCGTTTCTCTTCATTTCATTCTGAGAAATGTGGGGACAATCTGTATGCGGCCAAAATCAGAAAGGCCGATTTCACAATCGACGAGACATTGCGCAATGTTGCCCCGAGGGATCGAGGAAATAGTTTGGGGTTTGAAGTCTTCAAGGACTCTTCTTACCTGATATCGGGGTAGAACGAGCCAGGGGTTCTCACTAATGGGCGGGAAGTTCCCTAGGAGCAGTACCAATTCTGACGATGCCTGCGCAAACAGTGCAAGCGTGCGCCAGACTGATTGAGTGATCGTACCGGTTATTTATATAATAAATGCATTTGTACCATATCAGGGCCCCCCCTTCATCTATAAAGGGATTCCTTACCGTTTTGTAAGACACATCTGATACGCAAGAAACACACAAGATACTTCATTCAATACAAGAACATTCTTTCTGCTCTCTAACTTAAACATACTCCCTATTTGACTCTGTTGCTTACATTTATTGCTTTATTTACATTTATTGTGTATCATTAATTGTTCTTCTTTTATTGCTCTTTTATTGACCATAAAGAGCCGCAATCACAACCCTAATAGTTGTTAATCCCCAATCGGCAGCCCTTAGTTGGGCGTCTAACTTGGCATCGAGGCCCCGTACGTGCTAGCTCGAGGCCTCGATTCTCAACCGTTTGGTTTGGTTTCTAAAGCCATCTTCAATCTCATATATTGTTTTCTAAAGCATCTACTGCTTAACAACTAGCATAAAAATACATCACATATTTTTAGAACCACAAAATCAAATCTAATTGTTATTACCATTTTCAAGGTAAACAATTTTTAATAAAAGAACTATGTGCGTAGAAGAAAATGTTCATGTTATTTTTGATGAATCTAACATGGCTGAAAAAGATCTGCAGGATGAAGACTATGACATAGGACTCACTGATGAATAAGCTTCTAAGAACCTGAACCTCAATCTGAAGATGGGTCAGGATATCCCAAGGAATCTGAAAGTGATCATGAGGAACAAGAAGAAGAGAGAACTACTCCAACTAGTAACCAGACCGATGAAACTGTACCTACTGACGATGTTCCTTTGGGTCACTCCTTAGGTGAACCACCTATGGAGATGCAAATTAGACCATGGAAACATTAAATTTCACACCCCCTTGAGAACATCATCTCTGATCCTAGTGCTGGAGTGCAAACCAGGTCATATATGAGAAATCTATGTGCACTTACAACATTCCTCTCACAGGTTGAACCTAAGAATATAAAGGAAGCTTTGGATTATAGCCATGAAAGAGGAGCTAAACCAGTTTGAAAGAAGAAAGTTCTGGCACTTGGTACAAAGACCCAAGAACATAACTATTAAGGTACCAAATGGGTGTTCCGAAACAAGCTGGATGAGCAAGAAAATATCACAAGGAACAAGGCAATACTTGTAGTTCAAGGATACATTCAAGAAGAAGGCATTGACTATGATGAGACATTAGCACCTGTAGACAGAATTGAAGCTATAAGGATGCTAATAGCTTTTTCTGAACACATGGAGTTCACCTTGTATAAGATGGATGTAAAGATGTATTTTTGAACGATTACTTGAAGGAGGAAGTGCTTGTTTAACAACCTCTTAGGTTTGAGAGTGAAGAATTTCCTGACTATGTATTCAAGTTAGAAAAGCTTTGTATGGACTGAAACAGGCTCCAAGAGCATGGTATGAAAGACTCTCTAAATTCCTCTTAACCAATAACTTTGTAAGATGAAAGGTGGACAACACACCGTTTCTGAGGAGCAAAGGCAAAAATGTTCTGATTGTACAAGTATATGTGGATGATATTATCTTTGGGGCTACTACTGAAGCAATGTACAAGGAATTTGCTGAGATGATGGGGAATGTGTTTGAAATGAGCATGATGGGTGAATTGAACTTCTTCTTGGGGTTACAAATCAAGCAAACACCTACTAGAACCATGATACATCAACAAAAATACATAAAGGAACTACTGAAGAAATTCAACATGGACACTTCTAAGTCCATAGACACTCTCATTGGCATTGCAATAAAGCTGGACCTTGTTGAAAAAGGGAAACGTGTTGAACAAAAGCTATATAGAGGAATGATTGGGTCATTGTTGTATCTCACTATAAGCAGGCATGGTATTGTATTTAGTGTGGGATTGTGTGCAAGATTTTAGGCAAATCCCAAAGAGTTTCATCTGAAGGCTGTCAAGAGGATACTCATATATCTTAAAGGGACTCCTGATCTGTGTCTATGGTATCCTAGAGGGTATAGCTTTGATCTAGTTGGTTATGCTGATGCTGACTATTAGGTTTTCATGTTGACAGCACTTTATGAACATCACATTTTCTTGGTTATTACCTGGTGTCTTGGGGAAGAAAAAAGAAGAACTTAGTGGCTTTATCTACAACTGAAGCGGAATATGTACCAGCAACATCTTGCTGTGATCAGCTGATGTGGATAAGACAACAGCTAAGGAACTATGGTATTTTTGTTGATTGTGTTCTTATATTCGCTGACAACACTAGTGCCATAAACATTGCTAAAAATCTGTGTCAACACAAGAGAACAAATAACATTGTCATTAGACATCACTTTATCAGAGACAATATTGAAAAAGGGAATATCTCAATTAACTTCTATACAACTAAAGACCAAATTGCTGATATATTTACTAAAGCTCTAAGTAGGGATCACTTTGAAAGGAATAGACTGGAACTGAGTTTTATTAATACTTCCAACTAGGTTGAACCCCAATGATTGGCTAGAAAAAAGTATTATTAGATGTAGATGGTCAAGTACAATGTGTTTGATTCAGTCTCGTGCTTGTTTAGAGCACACACACTTGCCTAGAAAATTCTAGTTGATAACTATGTCTTATGATACTAATCTACATTGCTAAAGCTTTATTGCAGAAATGAGTAAGGAGTTACTAAGGAGTTAGTTCTTTGACTCAGGTACGTGCCATCTTGTCATAATTCATTGGGGCTTAATATCAGAAATTACTGCTATATTCAGACTTCCTAATCCTGTTAGCATTACTCTTAGTTGTCATGAAATCAAAGATTAAGGGAGAATCCTAGAGCAATTAGCGTCTAATTACTCCTAATATTCTAACAATCAAAAGTAATTGTTATTAGAGTCCTGCTAGAACTCAAAATTTGTTACTCTCTTTCTTCCAGTCAAGTTAGGAGTTACTTTTTTAAAAAGCCCCCTTAAAATCTGTTTATCAGACCTCACTGTTCCTCTCAAACCCTAATAAACAATCAAAAAATATTTCTCTCACTTCCCTGATCGATTTCATTCTCTCATCACCATGCCTAAATCCAGCCAAACCTCTTCTAAAGCAAAATCATCATCGAAGACTAAAGCCAAATCCAAGAACATGAAGCCCAAATCAAAGAAAAGTGCAACACCATCAAGTGTACTTGCACCCGCAACTGCTCCTTCTCCACTTATATCCTCCACTGTACGTGCAGTATCGTTCCATGTTTCTGTTGCACCCACTATTCCCACTTCTACTGGACCTTCACTTCCAAAACCACCTGCCCATGCACCCGTGTCTTCCAAAAACACATCTAAGTCCACTAAGATCAAGCCTACTCCAAGAAAACCTATCAAAAGTAACAAGGTGGTTCTTGATGTTACTGCTAAGGTAGACACAATAGTTAAGGAAGCTATGGTTCAGGGGGGAATCAATTTCAACTACTACTGGTTTCTACTATTTATGTTTCACCCTTAGATATTGCTCCACCTATAAGTGATAAACCACGGGTGGAGTAACCTACTGTAGAAACGAACATAGCAACTCAGGAAAAAAGGGGGAGATACAACTAATGTTATGCCTATGGTTAAGGGGGAAGGTGATAAAGAACCAGTACATAAGGATACTTCTGATGGTCTCTCTAACTGAGGATAGGTCGATGATGAAGGTGAGAAATAAGGAGGAGTGGTGGATAGTCATGAAGACCATCAAGCTCATGACATGGCTAATGATACTGATTAGAAAAAGAGAGAGAATGATGGGGATTATGGCGAGGAGAAAGAGAGTGAGTCAGAAGATGAGATAGATGAACAAGTGGGTGATTTAGGAGAGGAAGAAGGAGAGTGAGTCAGAAGATAAGATAGATGAACAAGTGGGTGATTCTGGAGAGGAAGAACAAGATAGTGAGGAAAAAGGTGATTTTGAGAGTGGAGGTGAGGATGAAGAAAAGGAAAGTGAGAGTGAAGGTGAGGATGAAGAGAGAGAGGAAGAGAATGAGAATACAAGTGGGGAATCAAAAGGCTCTATGGCTATTGGGGACACTGTCATAGCCCCTTCAGAAGAAGCAAGTAGAGAGAAAAGGACTTAAGAAATAGGGTCCTTGTTAAATCCTTTCATTGGAGACGGGGACGTCAGCAGTGAGGACAATTTACCCTTGTCTGTAGTAGGGAAGAAAATCAAGAAGGCCCCTGTGAAAGGAACAAAGTCTGTTATCAATGCAAGAAAAAGAAGTGGCTCTTCATGCTAGGACTCTTCTCACAAGGAGTAAAAGAAAGGTTGCTGGTGAACAAATCATTAAGGAGTCCAGAGGTGCCAGGAATCCAAGGAAGCAAGTTCCAGTTGTTGAACCTATTGTTGAGTTGGATGCGGAAGATGAGTCTGATTCATACTTTGCAAGAAAAGACCTTAGCACAAAAGAGAAAGGCTGTCAAATTTACCAAGGCAACTACCCCATCTAAAAGGGCCAACAAAGGAAAGGTATGCCTGTTTTGGTGGAGTTCTACGTAAACTTCCAGTTTGATGGGAGTTTACTCTTGACCACTTTCCTATCAAACTGGAAGTTTACGTAGAACTCCATCAAAACAGGCATACATTTCCTTTTCTTTCCTTTGCTGGCCCTTTTATATGGAGTTCGATGTTGAAGAGCTTGGGATGCTTCTGAATATTCTCTCCTTAGGTTTTCACAATTACTTCAAGAAAAAGTGGCCAACCATAGACAATGATGAGTCCAATTCATACTTTGCAAGAAAAGACATTAGCACAAAAGAGAAAGGCTATCAAATTTACCAAGGCAACTACCCCATCTAAAAGGGCCGGCAATGGAAAGAAAAGGAAAGGTATGCCTGTTTTTATGGAGTTCTATGTAAACTTCCCGTTTGATGGGAAAGTGGTCAAGAGTAATGTAAGGGGGTTTGAGATGGAGTTCGATGTTGAAGAGCTTGGGATGCTTCTGAATATACTCTCGTTAGTTTTTCACAATTACTTGAAGAAAAAGTGGCCAACCATAGACAATGATGTTGACAAAGGAATTGTAGTCACAAGGAAGTTCTCTCAGAAGTTTGAATTGGATACTCCCCAGAAGGTGTATAAGACTGATATGACTCCCTTTCACTAGTTTCTATTTCATTTTATAAATTCCTACATTTTGTAGAGATCTGAGAGAAGGAACGAGGCTACTCTGCTAGATATAGTTCTGATGGAACTAATTGACACTAGTAGAGCTATCAATCTCCCTAACCTGATGATTCAGCATATGGCAAGAGCTGCAGACACTTCCAAGCCTAAGTATGATATGCCTTATTGCTTTATGTTAACTGAGCTGTTTGCCAAGCTCAATATTCCCTTGCCAGACCTCAAGTTTAGAAATCGCAATGATATTTTGGATATTGTTATCCTCCGCAGTGAGCTGTGATGAGATTAAGGCTAGGGAACCAATTGGTTCTGCTATTCTACCTAGTAGCAGCAGGGCAGTAGAGCTCACTTAGAGGCTCGATGGTAGGCTAGGAACATGTGTTTTAGCTGTATTTTGCACTCTAATTACTACACTTTGAGCATGTTTGAGCTTAAATAATGGTGATTTGCACTTATTACGTGTTTTATGCCATGCAGGAAATGATTTGTCTTAAAAAGATAAATTGGAGCTAAATTGAATAATTTGGAGCTTTGAAATATGAGTAAAAGCCAAAGGAATTAAACCGGGATCATATCAGGGGCTGGAGCAAAATGTACTAATGCGTCGCATAAGGCATGGCATTAAGCATCACATTAGTACAAAAGTTCGTTAGAAGTTTGAGAAGTTCAGAGTCTTGGAATTTTTGGCTCTGACAAAAAAAATACAATAATGCGACGCAGGGTGCGTGGAATAGTGCGACGCATTAGTAAAAAAGTTTGTCAGACAAGCTAAGTTCAAAGAGTTTGCAACTTAGCAACTTACACTAATGCGATGCAGGGTGCGTAGCACTGTGCGACGCATGAAGTGTAAAAGTTGACAGGTTTTCCCACTTTTGCTCAAGGAGGGTAGTTTGGTCCAGGCACATCCCAACTTGGTATAAATACACTAGAAATACGTTTCTAGAGGACTTTAGACCTACGGAAGATCGGAAGAGCATTGGAGACTCAAAGCACAAGGATTCATCATTCTTTCCTCGACTCAACTCCCGAGTTTGGATTGAATTAATGTTTTCTTATTATTCAACTTTATTCGTGATGAATTACATCATAAATATGGAGTAGTTTATCTTAGGGTTTGACGGATATGGTGTTTTTATTAATATTTGTAGATGTTAACTCTAGTTCTTGCTTGAATTCGTTTATGTAACTTTGAATTGATTACAACTTTATTCACCGGTTTATTTAATCGAAATAGGAATATTTTGGTGATCATTTTTGCATTATTTTATTTGGTTTAATTTAGTGATTCTTTTAAGTAATCTAAAGAGCTTATTGAATTGTTGATTAAATTAAGTTAAGAGAATATTCGAGAGATGTTTTCCTAAAGACTAATCCATTAACGCATTCTTGCATATTTTTACAGTGCTTTATATTAGTTCACCTTGTAGAGTTAAGATTTAATAAAGAGAGGAGTCTTGGCTACATGATTGAACTAATCATCGCCTGAATTCGTGAGAATCATTAGAACATTAGAGTGAATTGAACTAGAGTTAGATCCCGAATGCCTATCTTGCACCTATCCTGTCACGACCCTTATTTCTCCCATTGATTATTTCGGTGTTGCTCAACTTTTGTCTTTCTATGATGAATTGTGGATTACTTTAGTTTTCATAGCTAATGTTAGTTATTAATCATCCCAACCAAAGTGTTAATCATCCTGAATATCATTAAGCTAGAAATTACTTGAATATTGTTTAAATCTAATCCATGTGAAGATGATAATCAAACTATACTATCTTTGGCTAGCGAGCATTAATTTCCTATTGTGTTTTGGCGATACAAACTATATTATCTTTGGCTAGCGAGCATTAATTTCGCATTGTATTTTGCGATCGTCAAATTCTGATGTCGTTGCCAGGGACTGACAATCAATAATGTTCAAAATAGTTTTTGGCACTTATTTAGGAACCAATTTTATTTTATTCTTCAAGTTTTTTCTCTTCCGTGTGTAGACAACATGTTAAATTATTTGATGTAAGACCCGATCTTCTTCAAAAGAAGTGATCCCGTACGATCCGGAGGTGGAAAAGCATCTGCGACAGTTGAGGAAAGAGAAAAAACTCACCGGGAAATTCTTGGGGCAATCTTCAACCCAAGGGAACATGGATAAGAACAATGAAGAGATAGTTGATTTGGCTACACGGGAAATAGCCCAACAGAAAGTAGCCGCACGGGCAACTGCTGAAGTAGCTCTCAGAGCTGATGAAACCGTGGAGGGGAATGGAGGACGAAGAATCAACTTGATCCAACCTCTGGTTGAAGACAAATTTGAAAATAATATGCCAGGCCTGGAGGATCACTAGGAGACTACGTCAGGCCAGTCTACAATCAAGGAGTATATAGTGTGTGACCTCCTCCGATCGCAATAATAATTTTGAGATCAAGCAAGGGCTACTTCAGACCATTCAGAACAATTGTGTCTTCCGAAGCAAACCCAACGAAGATCCAAATACTCATTTGATGGATTTTGATGAGATTATGAATACTTTCCAGCACAACGGGGTATCGAAAGATGCTATCTACTTAAGGAGATTTCTTTTTTCACTGAGGGAAGATGCTAAGCACTGATTGTAGAGTTTGTCGACTGGTTAAATTCAATATTGGGAAGACATGATAAAGTTCCTTAAAAACGTAGGACGTTAAACAATGCAGTTGGAGGTCCTCTTACGCAGAAAACACCTGAGGAGATTCTTGCAATTCTAAATGAATTATCTGAAGATGCAAATCAATGGCCTGCAGATGATAACGAGAGATGGAAAAGTTTGGGTTACATTAGGTGGATTCTAACACATCAGTGCAAGCCCAGCTAGACCCTATTGTCACACCTCCTTTTTACACCCGAAAGGGATATAAGGGAGTTTTTCCAATAAAAAAAAACAATAACCGAAACAGGATTATTTATTCAAATTTAGAGTCGCCACTTGGGATAATTTATGGTGTCCCAAGTCACCGGTTTAAAATCCCGAATCGAGGAAGGTTGACTCTTATTTATGGTCTGCGAACACAGAAATCCGGGTAAGGAATTCTGTTAACCCGGGAGAAGGTGTGAGGCATTTCCGGGTTCTGTGGTTCTAGCACAGTCGCTCAACTATTATTATTTGGCCTAATTATCTGATTAGTTACATATTTTAAACCTAATGTGCATTATTAGTCTCTGACCGCTTTTAATTATTTATGGAATTATTATGGAACAAGTTACGATTGTCGTACACTTGTTTGTTTGGTACACATTGCGAATTGTGTCACGGGAACCGTACCCACGATCTACAACGTATTTATTTTTATTAACATTCTTAGAAGTTGTGGCTAAGACACATTAATGTACCCCCGGATTTGGAAATTATGTATCACAACTACGTCACGGGAACCGTACCCGTAGCTACGATGATTTTATAATAAACGCGCCTAAAGCAAACTACGATGTTCAAAATGTTTCCTACACTAAGTTATAATATTGATGTTGTAAGGCCCCGTAAAATTTTGTGCTCAAAACCTAGTAGCTCGTAGTGTCAAGTTCCGAATATGTGTTAGGAATGAGTAAAATTCTTCGCGGCTAGCTTGCTCGGCGCGGTTCGGACCCTATTGCACTGATCTAAGTATTTAAAAATCAAAGAACTAAGTTTTTCCAGAAAGGGTTATTCTGCGGTCCAGAATGCGGTCGCAAATCATGTATGCGGACCGCATTTCTGCCGCATAATGAGTCAGTGGTTTGGTAATAATTAAGGTCAAAATGCGGTGCATTATGCGACCGCATAACTGATATGCGGACCGCATCTCTATCGCAAAGTGAGTCAATGTGTCATTTCCGCCGCAGACCCAAACAGGAGGATTGGATTTTTGGAGCACTTTTGCGGTCCATTCTGCAGACCGCATTTCATCTCTGCGGTGGCAAAGTGCGACCGCATATCTGACTCGGGT